TGTCTTTTTTACTGACCAGTAACGGGATCGCAACCCTCGGTGTCGCGCCCGTACCGGGGACTGGCAATGGGATCGCAACCCTCGTTGTTGCGCCCGCACCGCGCTCAGCCAGTGAGCGGGAACCGGTCTCCACATGGGATCCGAACCCTTGGCGGGAGCGCTGCCGCACTCCCAAGCGGCGCACTCTCCAGTGCGCCACCGGGCCGGCCCTCTACTGACTTCTATATGTCTAAAATAGTAATACCACCACCTACTGCATAAAGTTGAATGAAATAATGTATTTTAGTGATTTACCCAAAGATATGGTATTACTGTTAAGAACTGGATCATTTAGTTGAGAAGTAAGGGTATTCACATGGTAAGGGGAAAATAAAATGAAGCAATCAGTTTAAGACCCTAAATTCTAAGAAAACTGTACTAGAAAATGTCCTACAGCAGATGTTTTAAAATCAAAATGGGTCTCTACCAGATACACTCTCTTCATTTAGTTCATTAAAGCCATTTCTTCCTTGTGATCTAACACTTCCTCATTATAACAATTTTATTTTTCTTCTCAACTCAGTCATGCACTTGTAATACACGTCTCAGACGTGGTAGATAATAAACCAAACAGCATTACACACACCTAAAGATGGCCAGTTAGGAGACTTAACCACAAAAAAAGGTTATGTTACCACAGAAGACTGGATGTGAGCCATGGTACTGAATAAATAGTGTAATGAATGGAGAAAATTCCACTATAGTTCTTTAAAAACTTAAATATCAACTGTGTCCTAATTACAGGTTTCTCTTATTAAACATCTCTTTCAGCAAAAGATAAGAATAGTGGTTTAAAAGATGACAAAGCCTCTGGTCACTTCTTTTCCTGGCATGACCAACAAAGAACATACTATTAAATATTGAGTCAAGGGCCTGATTCAGTAAAAAACTTGGAGCTAAGTCAACTAACATATGACTGAAAGGTTTTGGAAAATTATACTACCCGTGAAAAGGTAGTGATAAATTATGAGTTGGGTAATTACTACTGCATTTGTCAAACAGAAGGCTTGCTTAAACAAAGGCGTCCTATCCATAGTACAAAACAAACACTGTCTCAACAAATAGATAAAATTTAAAGTGCATGATACTTCTAGCACGATACTAAAATTCTAAATTATTAATAATTACAATATGTTCATTAATAATTATGATATGTTAAATGACTAGTTTAAACAGTATGTTTGTCATTTTCTAACGAAAATACATAATAACACAACTCAAAAAAAACACCAATGTTATATACAGTTGAAGATATCAGCATAGCATCTTACCAGATTCACATTCCAGTTTGGTCCGATTTAAATCAATTCCATCATCCACAAACTGACAAATTGAAAAGAGCCTGCAACCTCTCTGACATGCATACAATTCTTCTTCCTAGGGAGTCCAAGAATAGGGAGGATTACCAAAAAATAGTATTTTTCTCTCAGGAGAAAAAAGGACAAGAAAGCAAAGTTAGTAGGGTTTATAATAAACCATCCAATAAGTTTTATGACTGAAAGAGAAAAAATGATAGGAGCCAGGAAATACCCAAGACCTCTGCCATATAAAGAAGATTTTAGTCCCTTATTTTAAAAGTGATACCAAGAAAAAAGCCTAATGGGTTAAAAATACCACCATTTTTCCATATTCTGTGGTCACAACTTATGGGGAAAAAAAATTTAAATAAAAATAACAGTGACATAATCAGAACTTTAAGGTAGAAAGGAGTAAACAAGTACCCTAGGACCAATGGCATATTTCTGCCACATCCTGTTTATATAAATCACCAGGCTTATCAGGAAAAGTATTATAACCAGCTTCACATGGCAAATGGTAACACAAAAGCCCTGACAAAATGAGGTATACACCTACAAAAATGCTTATATGAAAGGATTTTTTAAAACTTGGCTTACTTGAACTGAAAACACAAACAAGAGCAACAATGTGATGGATGGGAAAGGCCATTGCAACCAGCCAGACCTGGATCAAACCTTTTAGGTGAGTCACTGCACAAGTTACTTTACCTGTCTAGATCTCAGTTTTCTCATCATGAAAGGAGACGATAACTTAATTATCTCCAAACTCCTCAATAATTCTGGATGATAGTTACGCCTAGTACAGTGCCTGGGACACAGAAGATGCTTAATAAATGGTACTAGTGCTAATCATAATAGATTTTAAAAACAGAAACCAACAGGCCGGCCCGTGGCTCACTCGGTAGAGTGCGGTGCTGATAACACCAAGGCCACGGGTTCGGATCCTATATAGGGATGGCCGGTTTGCTCGCTGGCTGAGCGTGGTGCTGACAACACCAGGCCAAGGGTTGAGATCCCCTTACCGGGCATCTTTAAAAAAAAAAAAAAAAAAAGTGGAAATCAGTAATCTTGAGGACTAATGATCGTCATAATTTCTGCTATGTGGAAAAAGCCATTTTGCAGGGAGCCATGACAAAGGACCTCCTTCCTACGAGCAGCACAGAAGAGATGGATCAGGTCCTCATGTTCCTGAGATGCAGCTGCACCCCTACCCTTGCCATATTTGTATTCTTTGCGTAAGGAGTAACTTTCTGCTTTTTCACTTAAAGTGGTTCGAGCTAAATTCTAGTCACTTGCAAGCAAACTGGCACAGTTATCTTTCCAACTTTCTCACTAATCTGCTCTGGGACTTCTTGAGGGCTCAATCTGTCAAGTGAGAGCCAGGATATTGGTTGTACCTGCTTGTATGAGTCTGTGTTCTCAGTTGCAAACAATATGAACCACTTTGGCTAGTTTACTTTATTGAAGGATATAAGGTAACTCACAGAATCTCTGAAAGAGCCAGAGAATTAGTTTGGAGGCCTTGCAGCTAGGAATGGTGTCTCCATTATGCCTCTGGCCCATTCCATGGAGAACTCCACTGCAACTATATCCAGATCCCACACCTCCCTCTGCCATGCTATGTCCTTAACATACTCCTTAGTTATTTGTCCTGGCTCTTCCTGAAAGCTGGAGGTTTCTCCATTGCCCTCACTAGAATCAGTTCCACACTGAACCTTTCTTCATGTCAACCTCTGATGCAGGGTTTCTCAACCTCGGCACTGTTGACAGTTTGAGCTGGATAATTCTTTGTTGTGGGTGAGTGACTTGTATATTTTAAGATGTTGAGCAGTATCCCTTTCCTCCCCTCACTAGATGCCAGTCAAGACAACCAAAAATATTTTCAGATAGTGCCAAATATCCTTTGGGGGGCAAAATAATCCCCAGTTGAGAACCACCACTCTAATGGATCGAAGGTTTGCACCTAACTGCAAACAGCACCCATGACAAGAGAAGACCCCTGTACCATGTCCACATATTTAAAAGTTACAGATCAAGTTATTTGTTTTATTTTTACAGGTGGAATTAATTTTTATAATAGTGATTTTACAAACAACCTGTTTAGTAAAATGTGTTCATACATGCTTCTTGAGAAGTTAACTTTCGTAACAACAACAACAACAACAAATTTGGCTTTATATGACTGGAAGTTGGCAAAATAGCAAAGAAAATTGAATTCAGCTATTACACGTCTGCTACAGTTGATGGGCCAACAGCATTAAGATGAGAAATAAAATAAAGATGTTCATATTATTATACATTTATTCCAGCGAATTTCTTTTTCATTTCTGTAAAACCACTAAATATGTTGTTATAATAAAAGTTTCTAAAATCTCTCAATAAAGTCAGTTGCCTTCTAACATATTCAAAGGTATTTATTAAATTTACAGGGCAAAGTGTAGATTATATAAATAATGAACAGAAAAGTTTTAAATAGAAATTAAAGCTGGAATTTTTAAATTTAATATTTTGAAAATTTCATGAAATCTCATTAAATATTTTTATTAAATAATTTTTTCCAATTCTAGTGTTGTCAATTTAATTGCTAATCTAAGGAATTGGTATCACGCCACCCATCTTGTGTCTAGATTTCACCTATACAAATTAGAGAGTGATATGAAATGGCTTAAGTTGCAAAATGTTCCTGAGCTGCAATGAGCGGCCATAGTGTTCTCTAACTCATGAGTACTTCTGGAACCACAATTTGGAACATGAAGGAGAAACAGAAAACTGGACTCTCAGCACTGCTGAGAAATACTTGTTCTGCAAGAATCTATTGCATTCATGCTACTTGAGCAGCACAGGCGGAAGACCATTCCTGGAGTCTCACAACTCCTTGGGCTGACTTCCTGACACTTTTCATGCTATAGTGGAATTATCTACTTGTCTGATTCCCCGAACAGTCTGTGCTCCTGGCCTGGAAAGGAGCTCAATAAACATGGGTGATGAATTAATCTTTTGTGGACTCACGTATCTGCGCCTCCCTCCCCACCCCACTTCCGCTCCTTCAAGGTAAGGACTCCCCACTAATCACCCACATCCTCCTCTCTCCGAGTGCTCGACTCCTCTGCGGAAGGGCAAGCTCCAAGGGAAAGGGATCATGTCTTTATCAAATCTTTGTGTCCCCCAACCTATCACAGAGGAGTGCAGTACAAACTTCCGGTAATTACAGCAGGAACGGGGTGCAGGCAGGATTAGGGAGGAAAACGGGAGCTACACAGGTGGGAGACAGCAGGTGAAGGACGGATTCAATCGCCAGGTTCCCAGAGCCGACGTAGGTGTGGGGAGCTGAGAGATGCGCGGCGAGGAAAGGGTCGCAGCCCGGTTCCGACGGGCCCTACCTTGGGGTAGGTGTGCAAGGGGTAGGTCAACTGACAGGCCCGGTGGCAGGACGCCGTATCACCCAAGACCGAATCAAATGCTTCGGCCGAAGCGGTCCCCGAACCTCCGGCCAGGGCCATGGTCTGCAGCAGCAGCAGCAGCGGCGGGAGCCTCAGTTGGGCCCTGACCCAGAGGCTCCCCTTCGGCGCCGCCATTTTGTTCCCCTCTATCACAGCAGCTCAGCTTGTTGCTGTTTTCTTTTCAGGGTTTCCTCCTCCTTCCGGGGCCAGCTCCTTCCCCGCCCCACCAGCCGCCGCTTCCGCCTCAGCCGTTGCTTCGGTTTAGCCCCTACCCGCCCGACACCGCCTTCTGCCCCACCTCTGGGATTACGAACTTCTCCTAGGCTGGTGTGAGGAGTTGTATCCAACCATCGCGAAAATTGGCGTCCCGGCTCCTCCCCTTCGCGGGGCAGGCTGGGGCGTGTAGTTTTCCCTGGGCGGGAAGCGCTCGGCACGGTAGGGATGGTTGGTCTCCGAGAACTACAGCGGCCCGGGTTGCGCCCTCCGCGCGCGCGCCCTTCGCAGTGCATTCTGGGGGATGTGGTTTACTGTGGGCGCGCCGTTGGTGCCTCCCGAGGAATTATTGCCCAGTGAGGAAGCGACCGCTTAGTTCCGACCCCGGCGGTCCGGCTTGGGGGCCTCAGAGGGTGTGCTCTGAAGGGGCGTAGGTGCTGCTGCTGCCAGGGCTGCTTTTCCCGGTGGGTCTCATGTTAGACCGTTGTTGGGTGCCCGTTCCCGGGCTTTTGAGTGCTGGGGGCAGAGGAGGACGGTGTTTCTCCATCCATGCTCGGGAATTCAGAGCATGACAGTCGTGGTTACGGTCCTGTGACCACGAAGCAATTGTTCCTGGAGATGTACACTTACTGTGAGGATCCCCTGCTGAGGTCTGGTAGTGATTGTTGGTTACGGTTACTTACTAGGGCAACCCTTGGAACGGTGACTGCAGTGGGGTGGTTGTTAGAGGGCTTCATTGAGGTCAGTGGAACTCTAACCCTGCCACAACCCAACCTGAGTTAGAAGGGGGATTAGAAGTCACCAGGTTCAACGCTCGGCCCAATATTGGAATCCCCTCTACAGCGTGCACTTCTGTAATCTAGGAATCTCCTAATTCGGAATGTAGACCAATTGTTGTATAATTTCAGTTCTTAGGAAGATCTTTTTTTTCCAAGAGGTAATTTTCCTGTATATTCCATCCGAGTCCCTACAATGCGGAAATGCGTTTAGAGAGCCCCATCGTGTCACTTTGGGGGACACACATCACAGCAGTTTTAGTGAGGTTTTAGAATCTGTCCTCTTTCTTGAGCAGAACACGCTGCAAGCACGTGAAGGTAGTTGGAGTCCCCTAACAATGGATAAATTCGTCATTCGAACGCCTAGAATCCAGAATACACCTCAGAAGAAACATCCCACAGAAAAGATTTACAAGCAGGCCACGATCGAATCTCTGAAGGTGAGAGGGGATCTGGGATTACAGAATATGTGCAAAGGACTGTGACAGCAAGGCAGTGCCGAAGGGTTCTATTATGGAAGACCTATGGATTATTTCCTGCTATGCCTCCTCTCCCAGAATATACCTGACCACTCCTTCATTGTTTTCCTCATATCCTGTACAGACTTTTATTTATCAAATCCTGCACCTCTGCTACATTCTTCTAATTACTCTGGCTTTAGAGTATGTTTGCCACCTGGTAGGACCTTTGTTATTATTCTTTTGCAAAATTTTCTTGTCTGTTAGGAATGCTAAAGTACCAAATATGATTCTATATACCCTGTACAAACTCAGTAAGGAGTGGCTGATGATGCTGTACCCATATTTTTCTGGCTAGAATTGTATCACATAGCCTCCACAGCTACAGCTGAGACTGGGAAAGAGACTTTTAATATGGACCCTTTGCTACCTGGAACTCAGTCTGCATTCTGTTAACAAGGAAGAGGCAAAGGATATATACAATGAATCAATGAACATAGGTACCCAATAAATGGCAAAGTAATTATTATTTCACCAAAAATAAAACAACTTGTAATTATTGCCTTTTGTCACCTTGTACCTCTCCTCCTACATTTCTTTTTCTTTTCTGTTTCCTTTATTGGTTCCTTTTCCTCCAGTAGATTCCTAATGTTTTTGTTCACCAGAGCTCTGTTACTTTTTATGTATTTGGCTAGAATCTCAAAGCTTTCTATGCCGAGGACTGCCAAACCTGAACCTCCAGTCTAGATTTCTGAAGGTGAAAGGGGAATCTGAGGCTAGACAAAATGTGCAAAGGACTATGACAGCAGGACGGTGTTCTGAGTACTTGACTTACATACTTAGCTAGGACTCCTTTTCTGCATGTCCCACAGGCTTTCCAGACCCATATTAGAAAGCAGTGAAGGGAATATAGACAGAAGCCCTGGGTTCTAGGTCCTATTGTGCAAAGGTTTGATCTTTAGCAGATCATTCCCTTCTCTGGGACTTTTGTTTCCTCATCTGTAAAATGTGGAGGTTGAACTATATCAGTGTTTCTTCAAGGGATGTTGTTGTCGTTTGGGGCAAGATAATTCATTATTTGGAGCTGTCCTGTGAATTAAAGGATGTTTAGTATCCCTGGCTCTTAGGCACCAAATGCCAATAGCTCCTCCCATTGTGATAACCCAAAATGCCTTCATTTATTTCCAAGCACCTCTTACTTGAGACCTAGTGAACTCTAGATGCTCTTTAAAGTCTCTCCTAGTTTGCAGGTATGTGACTTCATAGAACATGTTCAAGTGTTTCAACTGTCTCTACTTTATCAGAATATTCATGGATAATTGTATATAGCAGTGATTCTCAATGAGGGATCGTGATGTCAGACTCTCTGGAGGAAAAGTGGGGATAGTAATTGAACTACACATACAGTCACCAACAAACAGCGAGATTCTGATATACCTCCACCTGCCTCTTTTCTCCTCTATGTCTGCACTTGTACCCCAGTTGAGAATCATTATGTGTGATGATGAAAATAAGTGATGTGAAGATTATGGAATCAGAATGAACAGGCATATGGAATAACATTCCCCTTAAATATATTAGCTTTTTTCCAAACCTGTCCCTTATTCTCCTATGTTTACTTTTATATCCATATATCCATATACTGAGTAACTGTGACTACAAATCTAGGAACCATTTTTTTTTTTTAAAGATGACCGGCAAGGGGATCTTAACCCTTGACTTGGTGTTATCAGCGCCACGCTCTCCCAAGTGAGCTAACTGGCTATCCCTATGTAGGGATCCGAACCCTTGGCCTTGGTGTAATCAGCACCACACTCTCCCAAGTGAGCCACGGGCCGGCCCTTAGGAACCATCTTTTAACTCTTCTCATATGTATCCAATTTTTAATTCTGTTTCCTTAATATCCTTCTTCTCCATACTCATGTCTCCCACTTTAAATTCAAAATCTTGTTACAGCCCTAACTCATTTTATTGAGCTTTGCTTTATTGAGCTTCACAGATAATTGCGTTTTTTATAAATTGAAGGTTTGGGGCAACCCTGCGTCGAGCAAGTCTATCAGTGCCATTTTTCCAACAGCATGTGCTCACTTCATGTCTCTGTGTCACATTTTGGTAATTCTTGCAATATTTCAAACTTTTTCATCATTATTATATCTGTTATGGTGATCTATGATCTTTGATATTACTATTGCATTGTTTTGAGGTGCCAGGAATTGCACCCATATAAGGCGGTGAACTTAATCGGTAAATGTGTGTGTTCTGACTGCTCCATCAACTGGCCGTTCCCACATCTCTCTCTTTCTCCTCAGGCCTCCCTATTCCTTGAGACACAACAGTATTGAAGTTAGGCCGGCTAATAAGCCTACAGTGGCCTCTAAGTGTTCAGATGAAAGGAAGAGTTGCACATCTCTCACTTTAAGTCAAAAGCTAGAATAAATTAAGCTTAGTGAGGAAGGCATGTTGAAAGCTGAGAGGGCCAAGCCCGTGGCGCACTCGGGAGAGTGCAGCGCTGGGAGTGCAGTAGCGCTCCCGCCGCGGGTTCGGATCCTATATAGGGATGACTGGTGCGTTCACAGCGCTCACTGGCTGAGCGCGGTGCGGCCGGTCTCAAAAAGGACAAAAAAAAAAAAAAGAAAGAAAGCTGAGAGAGGCCAAAAGTGAGGCCTCTTATGCCAAACAGTTAGCCAAGTTATGAATGCAAAGGAAAAGTTCTTAAAGGAAATTAAAAGTGCTCCTCCAGTGAACACATGAATGATATAAAGTGAAATGGCCTTATTGCTGATTTGGAGAAAGTTTTAGTTGTCTGGATAGAAGATCAGACCAGTCACAGCATTCCCTTAAGCCAAGGCCTTATCCAGAGAAAGGCCCTAACTCTCTTCAATTCTACAAAGGCTGAGAGAGGTGAGGAAGCTGCAGAAGAAAAGCTTGAAGCTAGCTGAGGTTGGTTCATGAGGTTTAGGGAAAGAAGCCATCTCTGTAATGTAAAAGTGCAAGGTGAAGCAGCAAGTGCTGTCATAGAAGCTGTGGCAAGTTATCAGAAGATGTAGCTAAGGGCCGGCCTGGTGGCGCACTGCTACAGTGCGCTGCTTGGGAGCGCAGTAGCGCTCCCGTTGAGTGTTCGGATCCCACATACAGACCGGCGGCTCACTGGCTGAGCGAGGTGCGGGTGCAACACTGAGGGTTGCGATCCCGTTGCCGGTCCCCGGTACGGGCACAACACCAAGGGTTGCGATCCCGCTACCGGTCAGTAAAAAAGACAAAAAGGAAAAAAAAAAAAAAAAGGAAAAAAAAAAAAAAAAGAAGATGTAGCTAAGATAATTAATGAATGCAGCTACACTAAACAACAGATT